TTTTTTTGCGCGGTTTCGTCATCGCGAGGGCACGCTAATTAAACGGAGATCACGATCAAGCAGCTGGAATCTTTCCTTGAAACCCTGTAACACTGATTCCATTGAATTCTTCTGAGGCTATCGAACTATCCGAGGAAATACGTACGTAGCGCGTGTGTATTACACATGTACGTTTTAAATTGCCAACAGGCTTGAAAACTAAGACTTTCTTTGAATACTGTAGAGAACAGTCAGATTAATGAACTGTGGTTGCAATTAATCTATTATTAGCACTTCTGTTATTGGTAAAATGTTATGTGTTCACGTCGTGGAGGTATACTGAAGATAGGGAGGATGCGTTAATTTATTATTGATCGGAGATTATTTTAAGATATTGTTTATCGATTGCTTGTCGTTAGAAATTTGTAATATATACAGATCACGAATAGTCTGCTAGAAAATGATAGGATCAAGGGTTGCTTGCGTTTTAGGTACGTACATAGTGTTTGATCCAATTATCATCAATTGGTGTTTTCTATTAACACTTGAACGTCCGTGTTGGAAATTCACCAAGTGAGCTGAGCAAGGAATCGTCACGTACAGTATTGTCCCGGGCAGAACAACAGGTGGCCAGGGAGAATTTACCAGGTTTCCATATCGCGTTCCTTCCAAACGAATGGGATCAATGTTAAGTGCTTGACTGAGCTCGGACGGTGACCAACCGCTTGGAAAAGCTAGAATGACCCTCCGGCTGAGAGATCCCTCTTCAGTTTCTAACTATTCTAAGTAGAATAAAGAAATATCATCCTCCGAGAGAGAGGGAGAAAGTGAAAGATGAAAATTTCGCGGGCGACAGTGACATTTAAACGGACCTTTGTTTCTCTGTTTTAGGCTCTAGCCCTGAGTTGGGTGTCCCGGATATGACGGTCATCAGCGACATCGATGAAACGGGAATCAATCGAAATCTACAAGTCCGGTACAAGAGGGACCAGATATATGTATCCTTTGACGAAACTTTAATCAATTCGAACTCGTTTCTCGTGTCTACGATCTCAGGTAAAAGAACTTTCTTCGAACCTTCTTTCCTTTTTTCTTTTTCCGAATTCTTTGACATAATTCTGTTCTGTTTTTTTCGTTTTATATATACGAAAACATTTTACTATTTTACGATACTTTTTTTCTGACGTTAGATCAGAAATTAAAATCGAGAGATTGATTCGAATGTGTGATAGCAAAATGTTGGCGTGCAGAGTCTCATAAATATGCACGTGTGAACCGCCTGAAAGAAACCAGTGAACTGGACGTCCGTCCATTTCGTAATTCGTGCGTTAGTATGCCACGGTGTTGGAATTCTTTTGGCACATTTCTGACGAATAAGTCTATCTCTTTCTCAGTTTCGTTTTCTTCTCTATAGTGTTCTTAATATTAGGTCTACGGGTATTTCATGTCAAACGACATTTGATGTTTATATTAAATATTATTCTGAGAGCTAATGCTTTACTCGACAAAGTTTTACAATATTTCCAAAGATGGAAGCTAGCACTTACCATTCAACAGAATTTCTACAAAATTTCGCAAGAAACATTTCCAAGACATAAAATATTTTCAAAGGCGAAAGTATATTAACTAAACCTGAATATAAATCATCCTGGAATACTTCCAAAGATAAAATTCTCAAAGAACTTTGTAAATCGACCTAACTTTATAAATCCCTGAAATCTTTCCTGAAATTCGCCAAAATTCTTACACACCGCAAATTTATTAAATCTCCCTAATAAACTTATCACTTCGTCAAGCGTCTTGCAAACGTTCTCTCGAACGAAATGAAAGAAAGACCTAGAAAAAGTTACAAAAATCTAAAAGATCCAAGAGGAAGCTGCCTGCGCAGCCGAGAGTATCATACCGAAAAGTATCAGGAAAGGGAATTAAAAGTGGAGAAACCGGAGTGCGGCAGGGTATAAAATAGGTTCGGGACGAAGGAGGAAAACGAGAAAGAACCGGTGTAGAGATGGTGGAGAGTGGTTAAAGAAGAGAGCTATATACGTATGAATTTTGTAGGGGTGGGGCGTTGCTCCCGGGTTGGTTGGTTGCCATGACGACAACCCCAGTCAGCTGGTGAACCACCCCAGTACCAGACCCATTCATCCACCGGTTTCGCCGACCCAACGACCGACACCGACACGACCCACTGTCGTTTCTTGTCGTGCTTTGATCCACCATCTCCCCTCTCGCCACTCCGCCCGGTTATCTACCTACGTCAGTTGATCGAGAACACGTCGAAATGATCATCCGTCTCGTCCTTTATTTACGGCTCGGTATTAACCCCCTTGCGCTGGCAGCTGGTTCGCGGACCATAACGAGTGACCGAGCCGTGCGCAATAATTCGTCGCTTTCTTTTTCCTTTGAACTGGATAGACATTACTAAGAAGTAACAAATAAAAACTTATCATTTGTTTTGTCTGGGTTACATTCAAGGGGGGCTGGACCAGAGACTGAAAATCGAAATATTTTGAGGTTTAGGTATTATACCCAGGGACTGAAATATCGTAAGGTTTAGGTATTTGCTCCCATATTATCGTAATATAACCAAGTCCCCTAATACTCGATTCACCAGAAGTAACATTTGAATCACACGATTTACACTTTATAATACTGCTTAAAAGCTGCTTAAAGCAGTGATGCAAATTCAATTATTCTGTATCCGCGGATTTATTATTATATATATACCCCAAAGTAAGTCGTTTTGAAGGCGAACTACCATTCAAAACAAAAAAATCGATTTTTCGAAAATTTCAAACTGTCTCGACCCCTTATTAAATATACTCGAAACTGAGAGAATGTTGCAGTTTGGGACAAAAAATTCTCAACGTCATTCCAACGTAAGAGGTTAATAGGCGGCGTGCATAATATCGACTCCTTGTCTGCCTTGGAGGCAGAAATATCGGCGAAAGTCGGGCAAGTTTTGCGTCGAATCTTTTGTTGATATCGACCTCGTAATTGGATCGGTTTCCCTCTTAATTGGTTTACCAGTGAATGGAACGAAAAATAGCTGATCCGTTGGTTTTTTTTCGTTAGTTTCCTTAGTTGGATTGCGGAGGGGGTATTGTATTATGTTCTTAAAGAGAGAGAGAGGCTTTTGAAGAAGACATAGCCTAATAATAATTCATTGATTTTCGTTAGTTGAATTGGTTGTATAGAATAGTGTTGTATCATTGGAAATGTTGAAAGGAGTCTGGATTTCTTTTTCTTTTTTTCCTATTCATTTTTATTATTTATAGTCGCATTAATCACTGTGTGAGTTATTAGCGACTTGGAACTAAATCTTACAATTTATTATAAAGGTTAGACTGTTTTAGAAAGTGTATTAATTTTAGGGCCGCCTCTTTATCCTCCAGGAAAGGATTTACGTCTATTCGCGATGTATTTTCTGCATTGGACAATAATATGTATCCTATTGAACTTCGCACACAAATCACAAATTGAGTGATCCTTCTTTGTTGAGGAGATACTGGTAGACCCAGACGATCCTTGAGATTGCAACTTGGTCGTGTTTCTCGTTTCTCGTTGAAAGGCTTGTTTCTTTTATTAATTGTCCCAACTGTTTCAATAAATGACTAGAAACATTGGAAATATTCATGCCTCGTGAATATTTCGAACGAGTTGATCATCGAGTAATTCATTGTTGTACATAAATATTTCGAATTAAGAAAAATCTCCGGCATACACGGTACACGCGCGTAAACTATTGGAATTATCGTTGTCTTCACTTCGAAATTCAAAAGGAACGAGCGATCGATTTTCCAACAACACCAGCGGACGATGATGATGAGTCGGTTGACGAGCGAAGCCAGACGCGATTCGCCTAACCGGACGGCCGCGTAGTTTTTTGCTCTTCTCCGTTCGGTATGGATCAAACACCGGAATTCAAACGCGTGATGTGTCGTCGTTGGAACGCGATTTAGGTCGTCGTTGGAACGCACTCGTTAGTGGACATTTCCTCGTGTGTCACGACGTTGATCGTCGCACATCGCGCGGCGTGTGGGACGACGCGTTGACGTTAAGTCGCCCACGAAACCAACGTTGACCAAGGATAAGCTCGCTGCTAGAGAAAATGTTATCGGTTCTTCCTGAATTTTCTTCTTTTTTTCTTTCTTTCTTCCTCGACTTTCTTGCAACGCTCGAAGAACGTTTGATAGAGTGATGCCTTAAGCGTGTTTGTTGTCGAGTGTACTCGTTATGAAAGGTTTGGAATTTTTTTGTTCAACGTCGAGTATACTCGTGACGAGAGGGGAAAAAAATTCATTTTTGTTGTTTATTGGAAAATTTTGGCAAAAAAAATTATATATAATTTTAAAAGTATACTTTGAAATATTTATTCAGACCATATACGTTAAAGATTAGTTTTATTTTCAAGTATTATTATGAAATATAGTAAATAGAGTACATATAACAAGATTGTATATTATAAAATAAAATTAATCCAGAAAAGTATATCTGTGGTCTAGTAACTGTTTAGATC